TAAAAAGACTGGCCATGAAGAAACCAAATGTTGGAAGAAACATCGTCATCTTGCTCCTAATCGTTTCCGAAATCGGTCACAGAAGCCATCTGACGAGCCTGAAGCTCCGACTGCGGAGAACTACGCTGGTATGGATGACACCATTCCTGGGTCAGTCCCATTTTCTCGATTCACGGCTTTTATCTGTTCAACAAGCGCTGAAACCAATCTACTCGACTCAGGTGCTTCTGATCCGATGTTTAAATCAAAGATTCATTCAAAAGTTATACTCCATGTAATGTTGAAATAAGTATTGGAGAAGAAGGAAGAGTTATTAAAGCTATTGGAAGAGGAACCGTTACTATTAAATCAAAGTATGGACTCTAGAATATTGTCAATGCTTTTCATGTACCCTCTCTTCCTCATAACCTCCTATCTCTCACACCATTTTGGAAGAAAGGTGTTCAACTTGTATACTGTAGTAGCAACTTGTTTGTGCTTAAGAAGAATGATACTGTTGTCTTAGATGGAAACGTAATCAACAAACTGCTTATTCTTAACATTGAAATTCAAAAAACTACTCAATCGAATAACACTCTTCATACTTCTGCTATATGGCACAAACGTCTAGGCCACCCATGTGAGAAAAATCTCAAAACTGCAGTTCAGTGTACGACTGGAATCGATTCAAAAATTAGCTCATTACCCTTCTGTGAATCGTGTGCATTGGGGAAATCAACAAGAAATAGATTTCCTGGAAAAATCCCAAAACCATCTTCCCCACTTGATGTTATTCATTCTGATTTAAGTGGAAAAATATCACCACCATCTGTAGGAGGAGCTCACTACTATGTAAAATTCACTGATGGATTTTCATCTTATCGCTGGTTATACCTACTAAAGAACAAGAACGACTTCATAAAAATTTTTAAAGAATTTAAAACACTAGTTGAAAATCAATTTAGTCGCAAAATTAAAATCTTAGTTAGCGATGGAGGTGGTGAATATGTAAATCACGAAATGAAAGAGTTATGTACTTCATCTGGAATCTTCCATCAAATCACAGCCCCACATACGCCTCAGCAGAATCCAATTTCGGAACGTGGAAACCGTACGACTGTTGAGAAGGCACGAACGATGATCGCTGAATCATCCCTCCCAATATCTTTCTGGGGAGAATCTGTATTAACAGCAACATACTTAGAAAATCGTACTCCTTCATCCACCATTTCTTTCAAAACCCCTTACAGCCATTCCGATATTTGTTGTCGCTCACATTTTTGAAAAGAAAAAGTTTATGAGCTCGAAACCTAAGTTTTAACCAATTAAAACCTGAAAATGGCTGTATTTCCTTGAATTACAGCCAAATTCAAAGTTTTATCGAGTAAAAACTTAGGTTTCACCAAGTTTCACTTTTTCTTCTTCAAAACGGAGCGACAAGAAATATCGGAATGGCTGTATGAAGTTATCCATCAAAGAGTTCCAAGTCTAAGTCACATAAAGATTTTCGGCTGTGCTGCATATAAGCATATTCCATCAGCAAATCAAAATGGAAAATTCAACTCTAGAGCTGAAAAATGTATTCTTCTAGGATTTGTAGAAGGTACCAAGAACTATCGACTCATTTGTATTGAGGATAGAAAAATAGTGCTCTCGCATGATGTCATTTTTAACGAAGAAGAATTTCCTTCAATACAATCAAAACCGACTCAAATTACTGATATTCAAATTGAAAATGAAATCAATGATCTTGATGATTTGTTACCAGATGAACCTGAAGACGTACCACCAGATGCGCCTGATCAGGATGTCCAAGATGAACCGGTTGAACCTGAGGTCCGAGAAGACCAAAATGAAAACATCGAGAATCCAGAACCAGAACCGCCAATAAACCCTTTTAGGATCCGAATTCATAATCCTGCACTAGCTGAATCAATTCGTGAAGAGCAAAACAATAGAAACCCCCCTAGAGATAACGTCCGAAGATCGAATCGTTTAAGAGGGGTTCCCGCGCCTAATATATCAGTCATGATAGCTCAAGCATCAGCGTTAATTTCACAACTCGGTAATGAAATTGAATCATCATTACCATACACGCCTCTTGAGAATGTCATTGATCCCGCTAGCTATTCTAAGGCCAAACTTGGATCTGATTGGCCGAAATGGCGAGAAGCTGTACGTGATGAATTCAAATCGCTCATTGAAAACAAAGTTTTTAAACCATGCAAATCGATTCCGGAAGATCGCAAATTCATTGGCACTCGTTTATTATTAAACAAGAAACTGGATGGAAGATACAAGGCTACATGTGTGGCTCAAGGTTTTCGTCAGAAAGAAGGCATTGATTATCATGAAACTTTCTCACCAACTGGTAGAATTGCAACTCTTCGAGCTGTTGGTGCAATCACTTGCGCTGGAAGACCTGGAGTTCAACAAGCTGATTTCGTTACAGCATTCCTCAACTCATCGCTTGCGAAAGGTGAAGAAGTGTACATTAGAGCTCCAGAGGGATTCATCGAGTGGATTCAATCTTTACCTGCTGATTCAATAATTTATCAATGTTTCAAGATGCTTATTGACGATCCAGATGCTTGCATACAAGTTCTTCAGTCTTTGTATGGCCTAAAGCAATCGGCGCGAAACTGGTATTTGACAGTGTCTGATTGGTTTGTTGCCAACAACTTCCATATCAGTTCTGCAGATCCTTGCCTTTTTATACACATAGACGAGAATCAACACCGATCTTATGTTTATGTTTGGGTGGATGACATGGCGCTTGCTGGAAAGGATGTGGACTGGATTTTAGATGGATTGAAGAAAGATTTTAAAATTAAAGACCTTGGTGATGTTGATCACTTGCTTGGAATGAAGGTAACAAGGAATCGAGCGGAACGTCAGATATCATTTTCACAAGAACGTTATATTGACGGCATCCTGAAGGAAAACGGCATGGAGGACTGCAAGCCAATCGGTACCCCTATGCAGTCAAATGAAGTACTCGCACCAGCTACCGACAAAGATCGTGACGCATTTATTTCAAGCGGTAACGACTATAGATCAGCAGTAGGATCCCTCAATTACCTATCTCAATGTACGCGACCGGATCTTGCTCATGTAGTTAGCGTGTTATCTCAGTTCCTTGAAAAACCCGGCATGACCCATTGGCAATGTTTCAGACGTGTTCTGCGATACTTACGTGGATCTAAGCATTTATTCCTTGTCTATGGAAAATTGATATCGCCTACCAACATGCCGTTTCTTCAAAATGACTCAAAAGCACCATCACCGGTAACCTAATAGGCAACCACAAGTTGAACTGTGAATGTTTTGGAGCCTGAAAACACGGGTCTGATATAAAGCACTTTGGCTTTGATAAGCTACTGACTCAACCACACAATCTAGTAAAAGGCTTCTGACCTGATATAAAGCACTTTGGCTTTGATAAGCTACTGACTCAACCACACGATCTAGTAAAAGGCTTCTGACCTGTGAGCAGGTTCAGAATAGTAATGTAGAACAAGTTAGTTGAAGTTATCTTAAGCTTCGATAACTGATCTTCGGAGTAGCACAAGAGACAAGATTCTCTTCCCAAAGATATAATTTTATTCACCTGATATAAAGCACTTTGGCTTTGATAAGCTACTGACTCAACCACACGATCTAGTAAAAGGCTTCTGACCTACAACACCGAACAAGTTAATAGAGATAATATAGAGAAAAAGAAGAAAATTGAATGTACCTGTGAGCAGGTTCAGAATAGTAATGTAGAACGAGTTAGTTGAAGTTATCTTAAGCTTTGATAACTGATCTTCGGAGTAGCACAAGAGACAAGACTATAAGATAAAATGAAAACATAAGAAACGAAATATAGAGAAAATATTGTTAATGATATAACGGTCAATAAGTGAAATAGTGAAATTTACGTACTTCTCTTCCCAAAGATGGGGAAAAGATAAGTACAATGAGAGAGGATTTTAGTATATAAGGAATGGAATGTTTGATTTGATTAGTTGGGGTAATGTTAATGATCTTCTTTCTTCTCGTCTAAGATTGAATCTTCTTGTTGTTCTTCTGGGATTGCGAATCACTTGCGGTTAGGTATTTGCTTGTTATGTACATAGCTGAGTGCGTCGATTGGAGTTTTCAACATGAACAGCTTATGAACGGATTGGGACAAATGTTGTGAAGGAAGAAGGATAAGTGAAACATGGAGTTGAGGAGAGAGATGTCCGGATTGGGAAAGGAGAGAGATGAAGTTTTTCTTACTATATGTACTTTTCATCCGTCCACAGTTGTTGTCTCTTTTTCTTTATCTGAACTTTTTACTCTTTTCACTCTCGAGTTCATTTCCTCACGTCCCTTTTGACATTGCCGTTTGGAACAGGTTAGCTGCTAGATAGATTCATTATTTCTTTATTTCACCTTTTATTAATCTGTGTTTCCCTCAGGTTCGAGTGCTTCTCAACTACACTCTCACTGATTTTCCTGAGCATAGTTCTAATAGAACTTCTTCTAAAGGTTCGAGTGCTTCTCAACTACACTCTCACTGATTTTCCTGAGCATAGTTCTAATAGAACTTCTTCTAAAGGTTCGAGTGCTTCTCAACTACACTCTCACTGATTTTCCTGAGCATAGTTCTAATAGAACTTCTTCTAAAGTTTGGAACAGTTTCACATTTTCTGCATTGATGCTGCATTTTTTTTCATTAATGGTGCATTAATGGTGCATTTTTATGCATTAACATAGCAGTTTTAATCATTTTTGACATTAATTCTAATCATTTTGCATAGCCGAAAAATACTACATCTGTGCAGTGTTACGCGGGATGTTGATGGTATGATACGCGTTGGTAGAGACTAAGGATGGAGCACTCAGGCCACGAAGCAATAACTACTGGTAAATATAAATACATTCATCCCAACTGCTCAATAAATAATTAATTAGTTAACCTTCTTCAATCGATTCCGACTATTTTACCATCGCCGGCCCAAGAAGCATTTAGGTAGGCAATCAATAAAATAATGTCCGAAGGTCAACTGGGACGAATGCATTGGACGGGGAGAGTCTCTCTGCATAACGAGGTAGGTGAAATAACAATGACATAGCGCTATGTGCTAACAGATTTTACAGCATCTCATGCAAGATTTTAATAACCGATGGCACCGGTGCTTTGCGGCGTGTGTTGCCTGTCCATCGGGATTTCTCTCCGATTTGCCTTTTCAAGTAACTACCACAAACAATGCACCACTTGCCAATGGGAGTATTATTACATTAGAAGGAGAAGTTATCAGTCAAAACGATGGCACAATGACTGTGGTTATAGTTGGCAAGAACATTACTACTTTGAATGAGTCCCGCCCATTGCAACCGACTTTGGGATTAAATGTCATCAATGTGGTAAGCCGGGGCCGCGTTATGTATCATTGTACGACCGAAGAGGGTAAGGATGCTTGGGTAATTCGTCACGAAGCTTGGTGTGATGCTCTGCCTTGTATATTAACACAAGTCTGGTCTTAGACGATTGAACCCGTCCTGGTCTGGTCTTGGTAATATGAATTTCTAAAAAGGAAGGAAAGATAATAATAATTTCGATAAAGAAAAAGAGAAAAGTAAAAGTCAAAATCGAGAAAACAATATAAGAAAAACCAAAATATAATCAGGCACAAATCACCTTTACAAACACGTAATGCAAAACAGAAAATAACTAATCAAACGAACTAAGAAAGAAAACTAAAAATAAAATAACGGCTAAGTTGAGAATACCTAATTAACTAAAAAGGTTCCTAACCGTGCCCTAACGACAGAACAACGTCTATGACAAAATATGATCTACCATCTACCAAAAACTAACAGATCCTTGACCGTGCTTCCCAAACACTCCCAGGAGGCCCCATCCCTGACGCCGGTGATAAGATATGAAACTTCTTAAGCCAAGGATCCAAAGCCGTTGAAATCTGAGTGAGAGGCGTCCACACATCATCCAACCCAGAAGTACTACCACCACGTAAAAGGTACTCAAAAACACCCTGTGAGGTAACCCGATAGTCAATAATAAAAGCCGTGATTCCTTCATCTTGATCTTCATGAGCTACCACACCAAAAGAATTCTCAACAGGAATTTCCTTGCCAACAAAAGGAGTCAAAAGAGATACGTTAAATACTGGATGCAAACGTCAAAGAGACACAGGTAAAATTAACTCAGCCGTGTTCTTCCCGACCATTTTCTTTACTGGAAAAGGACCTATCCTGCAAACATCCAACTTATTCGATGGCCGCAAAGTTCGCAGGTGTCTCCGCGAAAGCCAAACAAGATCACCAGGTGCATAAGATGTTTCCAATCGCCGTGAACCGTTGTAAAACCGAGCCTGTGCCAGCTTTGCTTTCTCCAGATTTTGTTTCAAAGAATGATGGATAACCTGCATGTGTTCAACGAAATCATCAGCTCGCGGAATCCCCGAAGTTGCCACCAACGAATTAAACCGAGGATGACAACCTGTATAAGCAAAGAAAGGCGAGAAACCGGTAGACGCCGAAGGTGAATTGTTGTAAGCAAATTCAGCAATCGGTAGCCACTTCACCCAGTCAGACTGATCATCAGTGACAAAGTGTCGCAAATAATCCTCTACTAAGGCATTGACCCTTTCGACCTGCCCGTCAGTTTGAGGGTGAAAGGCAGTGGAAGGAGCCGGCGAAACATTCAATAACTTGAGTACTGCTGTCCAAAACTTCGAAACAAATGTTGTACCTCGATCAGATACAATCACATCCGGTAGTCCATGATAACGAAACACATGAGAGATAAACGACTCAGCCAATTGCATAGCACTCCAGGATTATTTTGCTGCAATAAAATGAGCACCCTTTCCCAAGTGATCCACAACGACCATGATAGAATCAAAACCATCCGATAATGGCAGTTTAACGATAAAATCCACACCAATTGTTGACCAAGGTCGCTCAGGTACTGGTAAAGGTACCAATTCACCTTGAGGAGGCCGACGATCTACTTTAACTCGCTGACAACTGATGCAAGTTTTCAAAAATGTCAGTAGATCGCCACGAACATTAGGCCAACTGAATGTGCGAGTCAACAAATCCAAAGTTTTCATGACTCCCCAATGTCCAGCTGCCGGCGACTCATGCATTTGCCGCATGATAATCGTTCTGGCTTCCGAAGGAACATATAGCCGATCACGCCACCACCAAAGATTTGTCTGATAAGTCAGTTGCGATGGTCGTCTTCCTTGAATCAAAGCATCAGTTGCATATAAGCCATGAAACCACGCCTGCGTCTCCAGAGATGCCGGTAAAAAGTTTGAAGGATCCGATCGTCCCAGAATGAGATCTTTTCGTAGAGATACTACTTGAATTGAAGCTCCTTTAACTTCTCGCTTCCCTAAAAGTATAACTCTGTCTGAAGAAGTTTTTCCTTCAGTCAAATCCGAACGACGAGAAGCGGGGTCAGCGGGATTCAAACGTCCAGGAGTGTGCAAGATTTCAAAATGGAACTGCCCAAGAAATGAGGCCCATCGTGCTTGCCGAGGAGTTAAATCCTGCGCCGTCATAAAATATCTCAAATTCGAATGATCAGACAATACAGCGACTGCTTCCGTAGAACCTAACAACCAAGCACGCCATTCCTGAAAACAAGCAATTATCGCGCCAAGCTCTTGATCGTGCACTTGCCAATTTCTCTCCGAAGGAGTCAACTTCTTTGAATAATAAGCAACCGGTTTCAATTTGCCTTCATCTGAATATTGCGATAATATGCCAGACAAAGCAAAACCCGAGAA